AGCACCTCCACCCGCACGCGCACCCCCTGGCGCCGCCCCCGCGCCAGCCCCCGCAGCCGCAGCCCCAGCGCTCGCACACGCCGCAGCCGCAGCCGCAGCCGCCCATGGCCTACCCGCGCCCGGTGCACCCCTCGCCCTTCGTCGAGGCCATGTACAGGTACGTCAGCTGCTCACGTTCTCAGCAACAAGCTACACGCGTCTTCCGGGCTTCTGTCACATCACCTCATGCATATTGGACTACAAAGGAAACTGATATCAAAGACATGTTTATTTTCTACTGATACGTTATTGCTCGTTATTACCTTCGACATGGAGCTCGCTATTCACTGCATGACTCACTTAAATCGATAAGATCGTGAAGACGAAGGAAATATAACAGTTGAATGCTGCTACATGCTCTCACTCGGAGAGAATTATGTGAATATGAAATGACAAACCGAATGAAGTTAATATATAGTTAATTAGTAAATAAGTAAATTCGAATAATTAAGATTGAGTACAAAATAAAATCATGTATGTACCGCGGGCATTAACTGGTTTTAATCTGAGGTGACGAAAAACCCTCGGGCCAAAGGCTCTCCGGCATTTTGTCGCCTCTCGATCATTAGAATAAGGGCCCTGCTTACGGTGGTTTGTGCATTTACGAAACAAATTATATCGATTGTATCTTCTTGTCAAAATTCAATTTATATGCAGTTGAAAAAGGTCTTGAAATAACAGTCGTACATCTTCCTAAGCTCAAAATTATCTTACTTTGCATCTGCAGACCTCCAACAAAGCGGGCTTTAAATAATTCTTCTGAGCGTAAATGTAGCTTCACTATGCGCCAACTATTTATAGTTCAATGATGGGAAGGATTCAGGAAATGAAAAAAACGTGCGCAGATGTTATTCTCCAGCATACGTCACATACAGTTTTTACTGTTTTTTACTAAATAAATCTAAATAGTACCCTTATGACGCTGTTGGTGCATAAATAACTGTTATATATCTAGGGCGTTAAGTAAATGTTTTGCCCTGTGGAGACTACACCACCCGAGGGGAACGAAACCGAGGAGTTACGACCGTGGTACATGCAAAACTTTGTTTCATTAGTTCCTTGCTGAAACAATATCAAACCTTCAGTTGGAGAAGTTCTTAATGATGAGGTTCGACTTTGTGAAGTTCGAGTGAGGTTAGGTCCAGATGGAGCGGGTCCGCGTCGTAGAAGCTCGCTTCAGGTCCATGAAGTCACAGTAATAACATTACGACGTCGAAATGAAATGGTTATACTGGTTACAATTAGTTACAATCTTATTTCTTTATCCAGAGAAATTGAATTTTAGAAATATTGCAGTAGAAAAAACAAATTGCACTTGTCATTATATATATTTAAAGGTGTGAATGCTTATGAGGTGATTTCCTTGTATCTACTGCACGACTAAGTTAATGCAAGATTGCGTAACGGATTGTGTTTTGTGACAGGCCTCCGCAGTTCCCCAACTTCCCCGCGGCACCCCCGCACGAGCGCCTGCTGCCCCCTGGCGGCGGCGCCTTCGGCCACGTGCCCCCGCTCAACTTCTTCTCGGGCCTGCCGCTGGGCCGGCCCTTCCCGCCCCGCGCGCCCTTCGACCTGCTGCGACCGCAGCTGCAGGGCTTCGGCGCCAAGCCGCCCTACCCGGACATGCTGAGCCCGCCGGGCGCCGCGGCGGCCGCCGCCGTCGCCGCCAACGGAGGCAAGCTCAAGGACCGCTACTCGTGCAAGTTCTGCGGCAAGGTGTTCCCGCGCTCCGCCAACCTGACGCGCCACCTCCGCACCCACACCGGCGAGCAGCCCTACAAGTGCAAGTACTG